CTTTATCTTTTTTATTCTCACAGCTGTACAATAATGTATCTCCAGCCAGTGAGAGGAAGAATAATGTACCATGAGGTTGTACTATTAGTTGTTAAAACTGTGAATTTTGAAATCAGACTTGGTACCAATACAGTCCCCACTAATCTAGTTGTCCTAACGTTACAACATGTTAGTTATCATTGCTAAACTCGAGTTACATATCCATAAATTGGGCTCTTCTGTACCTTTATGGGTATTCTTGTGAAGAGTACATAAGAAAATGTATGTCAAGCAGTTAGTGCAGTGCTTAGTCACTAGCAGGCACTAAAAAATGGTACATGTTGTGATGTTAAATACTGTTTTTCCTAGGCTGAGATCAAAATACTGTAGAAAGAGTTGGACTATATAGTACTTACTCTTGGAATTTAAATGTTTTTGTAAATTAGATACAGATGAGAGAGGGCACTGCAGTTTTCCTATAAACAAAATTTGTTTTTTTCATAAAACAAAATTTTTTTTTTTCCGGTTCATAAAACAAAGTTTGCTTTGTGTTCAAAATGATGATAAAAGCCAGAGGAATCGCTGAATTTATAACTAAACTATAGTGAGTTAGCCTTAAAGAAAGCAGAGCTATATAAAATTATTGATGATTTATTTTTGCCCTTTACCAAATATAAATCTGTATTATAAACAACTATAAAGTTTATATTTTCTAAGATAAATTGTGTTTATATATTTAGAAAAGAATAGTTTGTTAATGATTTATTTTATACCAACTTGTTTTCCAAAACAGAATAGGTAAAGAGTAAGAAACATTTAATTATGACTCAGATGTAGTTTTAATGATCATTATGACAAACCTACTGAAAGAAGTAGGCTGTAGAATTCCAAGAACATTATGGTTTTAGTTATGAAAAATTTGCATACCAAAGGAAGACCAGAGAAAACAGTACAAAAATGCTGCTAACAATGGGTTTTCTACTTGACTTTGTGGGCAGGCAAGGCCAATAAAGGAAAATAAAAGAGACTTAGTAGTTTTCATTGATTAATATATTTGTCAGTAGAAAATCACTTTTTTCCTGTCACTAAATTACGCAGCTGAAGTTACCATGTGTTTCAAGTTATGTAGGTAAAGTTAGTATGTTGAAATACTATTATAGTGTCTTCAATTACAGTTTTAAAGAAAGAAACATCTGTAATGTTTGGGTCTTTAAGCAATTAAATATACTGTGACTGTGAGGCATTGGATTAGAATGGGTAATGGTCTTGCTGTTGTTTGAAGAGTTACTATAGCTAAGTAAGTGCTTCCTGGTGCCCTAGCTCTTAACAGAATAGAACCTAGATAGTTAGTCGCCTTCAGAATGCCCCCGTCAATTCTCCGCCGCCTCAGTGGTGCCTTGTGGGAAGTGGAAGTCAGTTTTTCAGGGTTTCTTCATCAGATGTAAACTCTATTGCAGCAGTATGATCTCTTTTGTGAGCTGTTTATGTACTTGGGCTTTTAAAAAGGGGAGTAGGTTTTCAGACTGCCCTTTTTTCAGTTGCAGAGATGTTGAGATCTCAGGAGATTTCAGGTGTGGATGAAGTTAAAGAGAAGAAAAATATTGCACCTCATAACTTTTGCATCTTAGGTAGCAGAGGCAAAGATTTAATGTCACATTCCTATGGATTGCTTGTACAAGTCAGGCACCTTTTGACTGAATTATAAGGTGAAATTTTATTGTATTGATCTTCATGTATAGAGAGAAAGGCTGACTCAATACCAAGATTAATTGACAAAAGATCTCCTTGCATCCTTTGTTCTAGATACATTATTATCCCCTGAGGTAAAATCTATACTAGGTTTTCCTTTTGCACTCCAGCCTGGGCAATAAAGTGAGACTCAGTCTCAAAAAATAAAATAAAATAAAATAAAATAAATAAAAGCCAAGTTCAAAGGAGTGGATTTTCCCCAAAGTTCGTATAGGTTAGGTGTTTTTAATACCCTTTTCAGTAGAGCCACGGTTCAGTTCCTCCTGGTATGTTAGCAAGCCATCTGGCACCCCACATGCCATAACAAACGGCAATTTCAGGAAAGCTTGAGGAGGAAATTGGATGATTCTTTCCATGAATCCTGTCTGGGCTCTTCTCTTGCTGGGCTTTTGGCATTTTGACCTAAAACACTCAAGCCAGGCTCACAAAGTTCCACCTGGGGCCGCTGATGTGCAAGTTCTTAGTTGGACCCTTTTTCATCTATATGAGTCCTTGCTCTTCCCCCAAATCCAAATTACATAAACCCTGAACTAGGCAGAAGAAAGCAGGGGCTGATTTTTCTGTGTGTCACATACTTCGGTCAGGAAGAAGTGGATGCCTCTGGGCTACCTTGTATGTACGAAAAAACGAGAGTGAAAGCCTGGCTGGGTGTGATGGCTCACACCCGTAACTCCAGCACTTTTAGGCGCTGAAGCAGGCATAAACCCAGGAGTTAGCGTCCAGCCTGGGCAACATGCCGAAACCCTGTCTCTACAAGAAGTAAAAAAATTAGCCAGGCATGGTGGTGAGCACCTGTAGTCCCAGCTACTCAAGAGGCTAGGGTGGGAGGATGGCTTGAACCCAGGAGGTTAAGGCTGCAGTGAACTGTGATCTCACCACTGCACTCCAGCCTGGGCAAAGGAGCAAAACCCTGTCTCAAAAAAAAAAAAAAAAAAATTGTGTAGGAGAGGATGTTACCCGTAATGTATATCTTTGACCAGGAAGACAAAAAACGAGTGGAAGATGGTGCGGTGGAAACCGTGACTGCATGTGTGTCTTTTCATTCTCTGCTGGAACAGCCCACCTGTGCTGGGTTTTACTGTCCTACTTTGGCCCTACAAGAGTGTTTCTTTTGTGAAGAAATAATTATCTTCACCACTTGTTGTCTCCTAAGTATTAGTGAAGTGTGATATGGGAAATGAACTACCCTCATGCCTCTGGAAGGGATGGAGCAGGCTGGGAACCTGTCTGTGACCAGATGCACAGGACCCTTTGTGGTAACTTACCAGTTCCCTGCCTGAGCTCCTGGAGGCTTTGTCGTACATTCTTACTAGTCGTTTTTGAAAACTTACATTTAGAACTTGGTCCTTGACATCAGTCCTTTAGGGAGAGAACCATGTCTTACTGTCATTGAAGAGTGGCACAGTGTCTTTGAGTACACTTTTAAAATGTTTTATAAGGCTCCACACTAAATAGTCTAAAATTGAAATATTTGAAGACCTCTCTAAAATGAAGCATATCTAACTTCAGGCTTGATTTCTCACATATATGCAGGAAAAATATGAGATCTGGAAATCTGCCATAAATACTATTACCTCCACCACCAAGAAAACAAATCTGTGTGACCACAAATGCTCCCAAGTTGCAGGCATTCCCAGAGTAGCAGCATAGATAGTGGCTGTAAACTCTTGTTTTTCCTGTCTAACTTTCCTTTGCATGAAGTGGACATGACTATTTACTTAACTTCTGGTTGGAAATAAGATCCCATTGTCTAAATTGTGTCAGCGCAGTTCTTGGTAGCACAAGAATATTAAACACTTTAATATGACATCCAAAATGAATGAGTCAAGTTATAAGAACTTTCTTTGAGGGATGGAAAAGATCATAACCCACTTTCATGTCCTGGGACGCTTCATTCAGTCTCACGGTATTAGAAAGTGAGCAGCCTTTGGGTTGGGGCGGGGCGCGTAGCACTTTACATGCTTTGGGCCACCAGTTCCTCCTCCCTGCTGCTCCGCCACTGCGTGACATTTCCTTCTCGTCCGCATTCCCAGTGCTTCTGTCTTTTCTGTCTTAAAATCTTTGTAGCTTTGACCTAGGCTGCAGTAGCAGGGGGAGAGCAGCGCAGGCGAAATACTTGCCTTCTTCTGGACCACTGTGGAGAGAGGCGGAGTCACATTTACCTGTGGACATTGGTGGCCCCCAAAGGTGGTTTCTTGGCAACGCTCACACAGTTGATAGATGATAGGCAAGAGAGGATGGCATCGACAGTGCACCTGCTGCTTGCAGCCCAGCCAGGGCCTCCACACCCAGCGCCTCCTAGAGCCCCCATGGGAATACCTGGGGGGTTATGGAACTGGAATGTAAACCCATGTCTCTATTCCAAGCTCATGCTTTTTTGTAAGAGGAAAACTTTTAAATAGTTTTTTCTTGAAAAGCCTCTTTTTCTTCCTAATTGGTTCTAAAACAAAAGTTTGGGCAAGTGCCTAAAAGGAAAATAGGGACAAGATTGTTTTCTGTCGTGGAATTCACAGTGGTGTCTGTGTGTACTTTAGAGCTAAGTGTGCACATACTGTGGGCGCATGCTTATTTTCTGAAGGCGAGTGCTCTAAAAGGATTGGGGACCACTGCTCTGAGTCCCAGTTGCTGTACCTGTGGAGTGAGTGCTGCTGCTCAGCTCCTGGAATTGTTCTGTGGCTCTGGCCTGACCGTCTCTATGTGGGCTTTAGACTGTGCTGGGGCAGAGTGAGTGCCCCAGACCAGTAGCTCTTGTTAGTGTGGGGACTCCCAATGCTAGTTTTGGTGATTTACTTTCATGTACTCTTGTGTCATCCCAGGGTGAAGATACACATATTCTCTAACAGCAGGACATTTGTTTTTCATTTATGAGGTCATTCAGAATCGTAATTAAGGCGATTTTGAACTTCTTAGATTGCAGCAGTGGCAGTAGCAGTAAACAAGACCCCTTTATCTGAACAGGAAAGTAGTCTTTCCCCAGGAAGTAACTACACTTCCTTGTAATTACCTGTTTGTGTAATTGTAATAACTTTACAAGTTATTCATAAAAATACAAGAATGACTAGTTTGTCGTTGTCATAACTTGTGTATGATACATGAAGTAGAAGTCATACAGTACAAGTACTTTTGAAATTTGGAAAAGTTTAATTTTGTAGGACTTTATTATTTTTGGATGTTAAAGTAAGTATGAATGACAGTGATAGTGTGTTTCAATTTTGGAAGTGATTCTTTGCTATTGAAATTCTCATTCTCCTCATTTCATTCTTATTTTTTAGGGAATACCTTGGCAAGCAGCTCCAATCCGAGCAGCCCCAGACCGCTGCCGCCCGAAGCTGAGCCTGCCTCTGGCCTTCCCCTCCACCTCGATGCAGAACCAGTAGTGGGAGCACTGTGTTTAGAGTTAAGAGTGAACACTGTTTGATTTTACTTGGAATTTCCTCTGTTATGTAGCTTTTCCCAATGCTAATTTCCAAACAACAACAACAACAACAAAACATGTTTGCCTGTTAAGTTGTATAAAAGTAGGTGATTCTATATTTAAAGAAGATATTACTGTTACATATACTGCTTGCAATTTCTGTATTTATTGTTCTCTGGAAATAAATATAGTTATTAAAGGATTCTGACTCCAAACACAGCCTCTCTCTTTACTTGGACTTTAAACAAAAGTCACCTGTTGTCTCTTTTCAAACCAAATTGGGAGAATTGTTGCAAAGTAGTGAATGGCAAATAAATTTTTAAAATCTATCGACCTATCAATCTCTATCGATCTATGTCTCTATCCAGCTCTCTGTTCATCTATATATCATCTATGTATCTACACACACACACACACACACACACACACACACACACAGAGTCTGCAACTATACCTTAGTGGTAGCATAGCTTTAAAATCTTAGTTTTTAACATGATACTGTGGTTCAAAAGATTTCTTTTTGGAGTTCAGTGAAAAGTTTTAGTGTTAGATTTATTTTCAGTACTTTTTTCCTTGGTTTTTAGTGCCTGAAGTTTGTTTTGTCTTATTACATTTTGGTTTAAGCATTGCCAATAGATATTTTATTCTCTCCCCTCTTGTTTCTAGAACCATATCCCTTTAGCAATACATATGTGGCATGCAGGCCTCCTCTGAGGCTTTTGTTTTTTTAACCCCATCAGCTGATCTCTCTGAGTCTCATTTTTCATTCATTTTCATGTTATTTTCACTTTTTATTCCTAGCAGTTCTATGAATGTTGAGTAGATGTGCTAAAGCTAATAAAACATTTATTCTAGTTTTTTCTCCTATAGAAAGCCACTCATAGAATCCATCTCCTGTTTAAGAATCAAAGATTGTTTCATTTTCAACATAGAAATCCTGTGGGAGAAATTAGTTAAAATTATGGATAAATTAGTCAGTGGGTTCATGTGACTCGAATGATTTTCCTTAAAGGGGTTCATGTTTGCCAGAAAAGAGGTAGTCTGATCAAACTAATTTTTTCTTTTACTAAAAGTTTAAACATTGCTTATATGTAGTTTACTTTTTGAAACGTGAAAAATCATTAAATAGAGCTTTTCTCATAGTAATTACAGACACTGCATTAGCAGAAGATCAGTTTTCATGTTAATATATGAATGGTCTGTAAAATCTTTAGGATTTTAAGGCACTCAATTTCTAGAAGTCCTAGTAACCAGAGACACGGCCATCTTCTGAATTTCATAAGAATGCATTGATTGTTTGGTGTCATAGTTTCTGATTTTAGTTTCATTTTGCACAGCCCTATAGTTGTAAAGTAGAAATCAGTGACAATCACTCTTGTAGAAAGTATTAGTGCTTTTGTTCCTAAGAAGTGCTTTTGTCCATGGGAAGCAATACTCCCATGTAATCATGCTTTAATTATTATCTTCTATATTAAAATTAATTCCTTCGAGGTACCTTTTTTCTGCCTTAAACCTTTACACTCAACTTATAGAGCATATAGTAATTATGAAAGCAGTCACTTTCATTTTTCCTTTGCTTATCAATGTTTTTGATTAACATTCAATGCTTAAACCCTCCTTAAACTATAATACCACCTACATGTTCAATTAAACTGCAAACACCTAATGGAGCACACTTATAAATACGACAAACCAAATCTTAGAAATTGCTCACGAGTCAAATACAGGTAACTCTACCTAGGGATACAGGTAGTAAAAATACACTTAAACGTTTTTAAGCATCTTTAAAACAGCCTAAACAAAGAGCCCAGTTATTACAAAATGTGTTATTACACCTAGGTATAAACACCATTTACACAATGTAATCAGTATAGGATTGTTGAATTTCATTTTCTCTGTACTTATTTTGACATTTTCCTTGGTTTCGTAAGTCCTCACCTAATCTAGACCAAGACTGGGCATTTTAGGCCAGCCATGGTTAGTGGAGTAAAACTGCTATGGATCATGGAACTGTGGGTGACACTTTGTGGTGACCATGTGAGGCTTTCGCAGGGACTAAACAACAAACCTTGAGACTGGCAGTCTTGGGACCTGGGTGTGACCATCCAGATGCTGGTGGAGTACATTTCTTTTTGTGGTCAGTCTCCCACCCGTCCCCCGACCCCACCCCCACTTTTTTTTTTGTCAGTTGAGTTAAAAATCCATGCTCTTCAACTGGGTTTGAATCTGTTACCTACATGTCTCTTTTTTGCAACCTGGTGTATGAGGGAGGTTTCTAAGTTCTTGAATGTTGCTCATCTCAGAGATAGATAAAACCCTAATTTAAGTGTTGAATGCCTTCTCCAATAGGAGGCAATCTCTCCCCTTTCTGTCCTAAAATCCTGTTGTGTTTCATTGACCCTCTGTTCTCAATTTGTCAGGAATAATGTCACTAGAGGTGGCGGGCGCCTGTAGTCCCAGCTACTCCGGAGGCTGAGGCGGGAGAATGGCGTAAACCCGGGAGGCGGAGCTTGCAGTGAGCCGAGATGGCGCCACTGCACTCCAGCCTGGGTGACAGAGCGAGACTCCGTCTCACAAAAAAAAAAAAAAAAAAATTTGGGAAAAAAAAATGTAGAGTTGAGGTATTGCTTTATTGGATTTTTTGTTGACGGCATAATAGGTTATACAAAGTTTACCAGAAACCAAACTAAATAAACCAATTGCTAAAATATCCAATCTGAGCAGGCATACATAGTAATTTTTAAAAAGAAAACTTCTGATTTTTAGATTTTGAGAAGCGTATAGACATTCTCATTAAAGGGAGAATGAAATTATATCTTAATTTCTTGGAAAATTCTTATTTTGGGTCTTGTTGACTCTAATTTTTAAAAAGATGCATGTTTTAAAAAGATGCACCTCCTGTTGGCAGGTGAAGCTCATTCCCACACATCGTTCCTAGCCAGGCACAAATATTAAATTTACAGAATGTCTCCAGTTGCATCAAAGTAATTGGTGTTAATTTTCATATAATTAAAATTTAAATAATTTCTAACCTGTAGCTCTTAAATCTTGGAAAGCACAGATCCAAATTTTGATGCTTTTGATTTATCCGAAAATTAAAAGCTCTCTGTTCTCATTCTTTGCCTTTGAAAATAAGAATATTTTAGACTAAATTTTGAAACCACTCAAAGTTGGTAGGTGGCAAAGTGACTTCCCAAATACGAACCTTGTGATGAAATCTCTTTTTAGTTTGAAATTTCTCTCTTGTTTTGCTGTACAAAATGTTCTGTTCTGGTTAAGAGATGTGCCTTTAACTTTCTGAACAAATTTCCAATGAAAAAGTCAGTTGGAAAGAAAAAGGAGCTATAAATAATTTTAAATTCCTTCAACATTGTATGCAAATCTGACACGAGTTCCCTTCTCTTTTAGTTCTTAAGAGTGTTGATTACTCTTCTAAAAATAGGATAAAAGTGGAAGAGACACTTCCGTGATTGAAGGAATACTAGTCTGAGATGCTTTTATCTTTCAGTACTATGTAGACCTGTGTCTTTTTCCCTTTACAAAGGAAGAAAAAATGTATCCAGGAAGTTGGTTGAAAGAACCTATCTACAAAGAACACCAAATAATAAAGTTTGTTAACATGTAGAAATAAAATATTTGAAACAATAGCACAAAGGTTGCATGGTGAGGCAACGAACTTCTGCTCTTGTAAGACAGCTGATTACATCAGATAGGAAGTGATATAACAGGAATATGAAGTAGACTGTGATGAGTTAAGGATACGTATTTAATTCCCTAGAGCAACCACTGAAACAATAAACAAACTGAAATTACAAGGTATAGCTAGCTAAAGAGCCATTGGTGGAGATAAAATTGAATACAAAAAATGCTTGATTAACCCACAAGAGTGCAGGAGAAGAGCATGGGAGAGAGAAGACACATAGAAAATGAGTAGCAAGGAGGCTGGGCGTGGTGGCTCACACCTGTAATCCCAGCACTGTGGGAGACTGAGGTCAGGAGTTCAAGACCAGCCTGGCCAATGTGGTGAAACCCTGTCTCTACTAAAAATACAAAAATTAGCCAGGCGAGGTGGCATGCGCCTGAAATCCCAGCTACTTGGGAGGCTAAGGCATGAGAATTGCTTAACCTGAGAGGCAGAGGTTGCAGTGAGCCAAGATGGCGCCACTGCACTCCAGCCTAGGCGACAGAACGAGACTCAGTCTCAAAAAAAAAAAAAAAAAAGATAAGTAGCAATGAAGTAGACTTTAAGTCCACCAATAACAATAGCTACAGTAACTGGCAAGGATCCAGGACTCCTGCCCTTACGCATCCAGAATTTTAAGTGTTTCAGCATGGCCACCTCCAGGAAACTCATTGCTTCGAGGTCTCAGATTTGTGGAGAGGACGTTTTCTGGCGTGCTACATGGCTTATTTCTGTCACCACTCCCAAATGCCCACCTCTTCACTGGCTGCTAATAGAGTGGAAAAAGCAGAAACCTAAGTTATCATTTGTCCACCAACTCTCCTGCTACCAAAATTTTCCTGATAGCATTTGCTGTCATCTTGTTTTCTTTGTCCTCATGGGCTTATTCCTTTTGTTTGTCCCACCCAACCTTTTTAAAAAAATCGCTTCTAGCCTTTCAGTTGGGGTTGCAGAGGAAGCAGAAATGAGTATGTGTGTTTAGTTCATCATGATTAAACTGAAATCCCAAAGGATTTTTTGTTATTTTTGAGACGGAATTTCACTCTTGCCACTCAGGCTGGAGTGCAGTGGCATGATCTCAGCTCACTGCAACCTCCACCTCCCAGATTCAAGCAATTCTCTTGCCTTAGCCTTCCAAGTAGCTGGAATTACGAGTGCCTGCCCCCATGCCCGGCTAATTTTTGTATTTTTAGTAGAGACGGGGTTTTGCCATGTTGGCCAGGATAGTCTCAAACTACTGACCTCAGGTGACCCACACACCTCAGCCTTCCAAAGTGCTGGGATTACAGGTGTGAGCCACCGCGCCCAGCCTCTAAGGTGGTATTTTTAATCGTTGTCGATGTATAAGGTCCATATTAGAATAAGCATAGTTTAAATTTGGGAATAAGGGGGGCAGATGTACCAGAGTATATGGACTCGCAGTTGAAAAGATTATAAAGGCCATTCATTCTAACAATCCTTAGCATCTGCAGTTGTGAGAATTAGAATTAGTATAAGTTGAGGATTACAAACAAATTGTAACCATTATACGTA